TATGTAATTCTAAACTGATTTGTTTACTGGATCTATCTCACAGTGTGGAAAAATATTATTTTATGGGATGGCAAAGTTTGCAAACATAAATTATCGTAACTTCAAAACTTGATTTTCCTAGTAATCTTTCTTTCTCCTCGTTTGTTGTATGGGGATAGTGGAATTTCCGAAATGTCTGGGTGAGGTGTTGAATCATTCCTATTGCACAAGTTCTCAATTGATTCGATAACAAATAATACAGTTGTCAGTCTTTCCCGCTGTGGTGAGAGCTGGCTGCTAGCCAAAGTTGGCAGACAGTAATTGACGTCAATGTTTATGTCCCCAATATTGGTGGTGAGAAAATGAGAACAAAGGCGTTGCGTAGGCGGGTACAGTTAGCATATGGATGCTCTGACACAGCCACAAAGAGATGCAAGGTTAACTTTCTGTGAGAAACAACCAATCAAAAGACTGTATTTTCTACTAACAATAATCTACAATAATGTACATTAAAATCTATAAATATGTGTTGATTTTCCGTAATAAACGATCTGTTGCCTGGCCCTTGTCTTCTGTTGTTACACCGTCACTCTGTTATATATGATTTTAATACCAACATTTTCTCATCCTATTGTATAGTTGTACGTAGCTGTGTGTAATGCTATTATAGCTGACAGCAGAGTAGAGAAACGAGTTAAAAAGTTTGCATTATTGTTAGATGGTTGGAGGCAGTCGGAAAGTAGCCGTGTCTGACCTAGGTTCCGTACTAGTCAGCAGTGAAAAGCCAGTCAGCAAAGCATATCTGCAACCACCTCGATTAAACGCATGTCCATTCTAAGATACAAACCCATGCCAGCAATCAATACTGCAATCAGAGATATTTCCATTGAGATATTCGGCCTTGCAATTGATCTCCTGTATAAATGACTGTATTGGATACTTTGACTGAACACTAGTAACTAGTGTGATCTGTCTAGTCCTTTGTTTGGTGCAGACTGAATTTTATCAGCATTCAAGTTTCCAATGTGGCCACTATGCCACTGGGTGTCTCACCATCACGATGCACTACACTGCTAAGTAGTCACGTCTCTGACTGCGGCACTGGGTGACGTGGGTTCGTATCTCAGAAGGAACATGAGTTCCTTCAGGTTTGCAGGTACATCTTGCTGACTGACTGGTGAATGCCAACTAGCATGACATCTAGGTGAAAGGCTTCCTTCCGATTGCCTCCAACCATCTAATATCAACAATTCATAGTGCAGTGCAGCCTAATGGCAAGTCACCTAGAACCGCCGTGGTTACATTGCAAACTTTACTGATAGAATTCAGTCTGCACTGAAGAAAGGAGCACTAGACGCATCATACTAGTTGCCAGCTAATGTCCAATCAAAGTAAAGTTTGCACTGATAAGTAAGTAATGTTTCGATGGATTTCTACAGATTGGAATATGGTAAAGGTCAAGGAAGTTTAGTTAGAGATGCAAGTTACTTACTAGTGAGCGCTGAGGCCAACAGAAGATTTCCTACCGGTCTGCTGTGCAGTTCCATCATCAATATTCGCCTTCACTCAAAACTGAAGGTCAAATGACTAACAGGTCAGAAAGGATAAAGCAATGAGGAACTGAGACAAGCGACGAACTAGCCAACAAACATAGTAGGTGGATTGGATATACTTAGCGGAGGCCTTAAAACCCTGAAGTGATAGCCGAACAGGAAGCGATGATTTGGGTAGCCGGTGAGTGACATGGTAAAGATCATATGAGGAAGAAAGGATAGCCTGGGAGCAGTTGAAAACTAAATCAAATTGAGTCCTCCAAGCTCAGAACTGAAGGCATGAATGCTAATAATTACCAACAAGGTTAAATAATGATTGTTAGACTAGGTGAATTGAGACAATTTTCAAAATATACATCAGTCGACAGAGATTTCGACGCTAGAATGAGAGATAATCACTGGTATACTTGGCGATTTACGATTGGATTACTCAATCGATTATAGATGCTCATTACTACAGAGTTGAAAGGTAAGGAGAGTAGATGGATACTCACAACTGTTAATGAAATCTGTACCATAGTATACGTTAATAATAATATTCATACATGGTTAGACACAAAGTCACTTACATGCCATATTATAATTATAAATTAGTCTGGTTAGACTGCGAATAATTCGGAAGAATTCAAGTTATATATATATATATATATATATATATATATATATATATAGATTGTAAATTCCAAAATAAATTACATTTGACCAATTATTTAAGACATATTTTATCGAAACTGGTCCTTTGGTATGGTCATTTCAATAATAATTACTATTATTACGGTTGTAACTTGTTAATATTAGGTCATCACATGCTGTCACATATCGTTTTTAAACAAACAAGGTCGTCTAGAACCGATCAATACTTATATAAGTAAGTAGCATTTAGGTTTGCTGACGATGAATGTATATACAAAATGCTTACTGTATATATATATATATATATATCAACTTGTCTAGATAACACAGGCATTTGTGCTACCATGTCAATGGCTTGTTTTTCATGAATAAAGTCGCTCATCATGATGAGTGACAAAATATTGAATATCGCTCGCAGGCAATATGCGGTAGATGAACTGCCAGAAGATCTTAGAACGCCTTCTATGGAATATGTTTCTCAAGTTAGTGAACGAAGAGCACAGAAAAAGCAGATGGAGCTTATGAAAGGACTTGAAAGGAAGCCAGAGGCTGGTAAATTTCCAGCAGATCCTAAAATGTACATCGACAATTATAGTAGTGTTGAATTAAATAAGGTGCAACTTGAAGTACTTTCACTTGGCCTTCGATTTCGTGATAGACCGAAATGGGTTAACCACTTAGATACTGATATTGAATTAGAAAACCCATTTAGTCAAACAAGGGATCTAGTTCCATGATCCACCCTGGAACTGGAACGCTTGAAATCCAGTCTAGTGGATTGTTGTTATCAGTACAAAAACCTCAAATGCGACAGTAAACGTTTCTTGACAAAGGAGCACAGAGAATAACTAAAAAAACTGATAAATGATGAGAGACTGAAAATCACAAAGCCTGATAAAGGATCACGAGTGCTCCTCCTCGATAGAAGTCACTATATTAAAAAGATGAATGATATGTTGAAGGACATACAGAAGTTTCAAAAACTTGAGGAGAAGAAAGATTTCAATAACAAAATAGAGAATGAATTAACCAGACGCTTGAAGAAACTAAGCGAGGAGCAGATATTTTCTGAGGTTTATATGAAGAAATCAGACCAACGGGCGCGTATACGCCAAGATTGTATGGCCTACCTAAAGTGCATAAACCAGGGGTACCATTAAGACCAATACTTGATATGCAAAATTCGCCCTACCATGCTCTAGCTAGATGGTTAGAAAATATTCTCAAACCTTTGCATGAGAAGATAGTGAAATATAGTGTCAAAGATGTATTTGAATTCGTAGACAAAATAAAAGATATCATTATCATGGATAAAGCCATGATATCTCCGGACATAACGTCGTTATTCACAAATGTACCTCTAATGGAAACAGTTAACTACATATGTGAGCAAGTGGATAACTAGTCGATAAACATTGGCATCTATACTGAAATCGTAAAAGAATTGTTATTAAGATGTACCATGAATTTAAACTTCAAATTTGACGGTACGCTTTACAGGCAAGTGGACGAGGTGGCGATGGGCTCCCCACTGAGTCCCATTCTGGCTCATTTCTTTCTAAGTAAACTGGAAAATGGACCTCTGAACAACCTTATCAGTAAGCTCTCATTTTATTGCCGATATATGGATGACACCTTCATTCTTTGTGATAATGGTTCTAATAGGAGTACAATAATTACTGAATCCAATCAAGTACATTCGGCTATGAAATTCACATGCCAAGAGGAATCTCAAGACAGAATTGCCTTCCTGGATGTCCTACTTACAAGAAGACCAGATGGTATCATAAAAAGAAATTTGCATAGAAAAAGTACTTGGACAGGACAATATACACATTTTCACAGCTTCGTTCCTACCAAGTACAAAAGAAATTTAGTAAAGACCCTCAGCCACAGAGTTAGAGCTATATGCTCAGAAGAAGTAATTGAAGATGAATTAAGCATTGTATATGATACCTTGATTGATCGAAAATAGCTATCCCGAAAAATTTATCAAGAAACACATGACAAAGAAAGCGGAAAAGGACTACTCACTATCTGTAAACAAGAAGCCACTTTATATACGACTACAATTCAAGGGTGATATACCAAGTGAGATAATTACGAAGAAATTAAGAAAATCAGTTCAAAGAACTTTTAATGCTGGCGAACTACACGTCTTATTCTCTACACGACCGATGGTGCTACCTCGACTGAAAGATGAAGTACCTAGACTAGTAGCCACTTCAAATTGTATCTACCAATTCAACTGCGCTTGTGGAGCGAGTTATATTGGCCGTTGCTCTAGGAACTTGATTTTTCGTGTCACTCGAGAACATCTCCCAGTATGGCTAAGTAAAGGTGTAGTGAAAACCATTAACAGTTCGATATTGGACCATCTGGTGCAAACCGGCCACAAAGCCAGCCAGTATTGAAGAATCCTTCTCTATCATCATCTACCGGGTGCCTAATAAATTGTCAAAATCATCGAAGCACCGCATGCTCCAAACAGCAGAGGCTATTGCAATTCGCCTCAAACAACCAGTGCTTTGTGTTCAAAAGAAGCAAGTCCAGCCACTACTACTGCCCTGGCCTTCAATAGAGACTATAAATTCATGAATTTGTAATATTATCTTTCCTAATTTTTCTGACATTCAGTTTATTGTTATGTTGATGCTATTGAACTGTAATCTATTGATATTATTGATTCGATGTTATTTAAACAACATTAATGTTGTTCATAACACTAATTCATTCATTCACTATAATGTATATATAACTGTAGAGCCTGATGATGAAGTTATCGAAAAGAGTACTCTTTGTTCAGTATCCATTCTTTTGAAAAATAATAAATCGTTAAAGATAACATACCCACGGTGCTTGAATACTATAGATTCGATCATAACACTGAACTGATCTTGACTTTGAAATAGCTAAAAGTATATAAGCATAAGGGATTTGATTCGCTCGCTGAGATTTCACTAACGCCGGTGACGGTAACCAAGATATCTGTACCCAATTACCACCTGAACTTATAAGTTTTAAATTATTAATGATCGGCTGATGAATAGTTGACAATGTTTGAGGAAATGAGGATGAATCTGTAGTGGATGGTAATAATAATGATTCGTGTTGTTGTTGTTGTTGTCTAAATGTAGGAATAGTTTTGATAATACAATTCCAATATGAACTTTTGCAGGCATAAGTTGTCTCTGTTACACAAAGCTTATAACTGCTTCCTTGTGTCAAATTTTCTAGACATATAGATGTAGTAGATGTTTCATGCTGAATTATGTGTGTACTGAAAGAAAAGAAAAAAGATAGAAAAAGATAGGAGTACAACAAATGAGATCAATTATAGAGTCATTATATTTTTATGACTCTTTAGTAGTACACACCCATCACCAGGGTTTGAACCCATACTGCTGAAGGGTCCCGAACTAGGCTGACGAAACAGCTTTCCAGTAGTATAGTGCTGATTTTCCAATGGTTTTCTAACCGATGTCAGCTCGTGATGAAATCTTCCGACCAATCAGTCACATCTCTACAACCCAATACTTGAATATCAGTGAGATGCTCACTAGCTACTGGCCCTATTCAGGTACTTATCTGAGAAGTCGTGACCAGTAGGGTAGAGCAGGTCGCCAGCAATGACATTGGCTAGGGCCAGTCGCGCTATGTCGTGAATTAGTAGAGGTTGGAATTCATGGGCTGGCCATTGGATTGGCGGGTCCCAGTGGTTTAATGGTCTACGAGTTAGCTCACCTTGTAACCAGAAGGTCCTGGGTTCGAACTCTGACAGTTGAATGCAGGTACATCCAGAAGACGAGTCCCAAATAGGACGAAATGCGCATCCTGGATTCCATTGCTAGTCACCATCCACCAATTAAATTCTAATTTACATGCCTAGACATCGTCGAAGCATCTGTACAAGAAGCCGACGTGTCAACCTGAGACCAAGCACTTCGGTTCAATCAACCGACGGGAAAGACTTCTATATCAGTTAAGGAATTTTAAATGATATCCGTTTTTAATAAGAGTATCCATCAGCATTTTATTTTCATTGTCTATGACATCATCGGTACAAATACGCTGAATACTCGTCAATAAACAATTCACCAAGCCTGTTTTATACTGTAGTGGATAGAAGCTGTGAGAATTTAAGTATTGATCTATCAAATTAGATTTTCTATAAATTGATCGTCTTATTGAACCATCGTCTCTTCGACTCAGAAGTATGTCTAAAAATGCAAGCTGGTTGGGAATTTCTTCCTCGCATGTAATACTTATATGATTTTATACGGAGTTAAGTCTATCAAGTAGACGAATCGCATCTTCACGATTGTTGCATATCAAAATGATGTCACCTACATATCTCATTTAGAAAGGCACTTTAGCAGTTAAATCAAGGGACAAGTTTTCAATAAAAGACATATAAACATCCTCCAACAAAGGTCTTAATGAACTTCCCATTGCAACGCCATCCACTCGTCGAAAGTGCTCACCTTCAAAAATGTGATAGGGACTTTGTCAGTAAATAATAACAATAAATCTTTCAAATAAGTTTCAAAGGAAAGGGGAATGAAAAACAACTAGATGTATAGTCACAAAGAATATTGGCAGAAGTTGGAATTCAACAGGCTGGCCATTGGAACGGGTCCCAGTTACTTGAATTTCTACGAGCTAGCTCACTTTGCGACCAGACGGTCGTGGGTTTGGACCCTGGCAGTGGGGTGGATGTGCACTGATGGACAGTCCGAAACTAGGCTGGTTTTCCAACGGTTCTCTAGATGATGTCAGCCCAAGATGAAATCCTTTACCCAATCAATCAAATCCCTACAAACCAATACTTGAATATCAACAGTCTTAATCAATGGCACATTAGTAAACAAGGAATTAACATCAAAAGAATAAACTTTCATATCTTTTATATTCATGTCTGCAAGACAGCCAGCAATTTCAAATGTATCTTTTTAAAGAGAACTTAGATGATTCATTGCGTACTGGGCTTAAAATGTCAGCTAACTATTTTGACAATAGATTTTTAGATGAGTGACATATTGGTAGAATTGAACGTAATGGATTATCAACCTTATTAATCGTGGGTAATCTATAAAAGTTTGGAAAGTCAGATCCCATGGGTTTCAATGAATTAAAATCTTGTTTGTCAATAACATCGATGCCAAGAAGTTTTACTAAATAGGATGTTACTTTTCTTTCCAAATTTCCGATATCGTCAGAAGACGCGTCGGCTATAAATTTACTTTTATCATTAGGAACAGAACAGTCTGTGTGGAGGTCAACAACACTCAGCATCAAAAATAAGATCCGGATTTTCAACTCAAATGTGAAGTCATTGCTACTATACGGATCAGAAACTTGGTGCCATGTCATGAAAAGCACTTTAAACAAACTACAGAGCTTCATCAACAGCTGTCTTCGCTCAATACTACTCAAGATCAGATGGCCTGCCAGAAAAGATCAGCAACAAGGGGTCTCTGGCAATGAACGAGCCAACCCAGCAGTAACCGATTATGCAACAAATATGCAGGAAGAAATGGAGGTGGATTGGCCATACTTTGAAAAAACCACCAATTGACATCACACGTCAGGCCATCGCTCAAGTGGAACCCAAATGGGAATCAACCAGTTGGGCGTCAGTTGAAGGGTGACAAGGAGGAGATGAGAGATTATGGACAAACGTGGGGAGGCTAAAGAGGACCACAGAGAATAGGACAAAGTGGAGAGGTGATGTTTAAGCCGTTTGTTTCACTCACAATCCAAGGAATAATAATTGCGTCTGAGCAATTTTTTTATTCCTTTACGTTCCCAGTGGGACATAGAACGACTTCAAGCTAGAGCTTTGAAGTTTCGGTAGCAGTGGTGTTTTGCAACTATCCGGTCAAATCTTGATCACAGTTCATATGAATTTAAAAGGAGTATTTCAAAAAAATAAATATAAAGACACCAACAGCAAAAAGTAGGAAAAACACAAAATAATTTTTTAAAAATGGGAAAAAATACCAAGAAGTAGAAAGGAAAATAAACAGCATTTAATAATAACTCAGTATTGGATAGTGAAAGCCATGATATGATTATGCATGGTGACAGTAAAGCTATAGTCATACAAGAAGTTTTGAAATGATATTTAGGAATGTTTATCGCCAAGATGATCAGTTGATTTGGTTGAAACAGCACTAAACATTCATAAAATAACATTTCACGGTTCTGTTTAAATGTCATAATCTATCTACTGGCATAGATTACAAGTGAAAATCACGGCGTTCTACCAGATGACGTAGAGAAGGCGACTGACAGCTAAATTGATTGACTGTAGTCGAATGGTGATTTAGTTATCAGTCGTTCTCCTACGTCACCTGGACATACATGCACATAACTGAACAGCGACGGGTCGGTCAAATCAACCTCGTGTTAAATGCTTTCAAAAATGACGTCTTCATCAGTCTGATTGAAATTTCACCCAATAACCAATCAATTTCAAATGGTGATGAGGTGGGGGAGAGTGGGCGACGAATGCAGCATTCTGATCGGTTATTTGATGATGAAATGGATGAATAATAGAAAGTCGAAAAAAATAATGACTAGGCAGTGATGAGCACTATTCATGAATTGCAAGTATTATGCATGATTGATAATCAACATTGACTGATTGTCTGAAGGTTATTTCACCAATATGAAAGTACAAATTGGGCATTGTGTGATATATAGACCTAGTTTAGTGCATATCAGTTTAACATGTCTGTTTGTATTTTGCTCACCCCACTGGCTGATTTATGTCACATAATTTTCTGTCACGCTACTTCTGACCATGAATATGATAGCTTGAGTATGAGATCACAGGGAAGAGTAACTCTCCATTGAACACCTTCTCACTTTTATATGACTCAATGGAGATTTTCAAGTTGCTTAAATAATCAAATAAATCATAATTATATTTCAATGGCTGCTCGAAATATAACCAAAAGAAGAAAAACTTATCACTGTGTGCGAATCATTGAAATATAGTTATGCTCTGTTTGATCTATTCCACAATTCTCAAATATTTTACTGACATCAATGCTAAAATCATGTTTATGTTTTCTACTTTCCACTGCTATTCGCTAATAGGTGTCTATCTGAGGTGCGATTTCGACAAGCATTTTACCAATTTATCATGTTTGTGTGTTTGTGTGTAAGATTTAATGGTGAGCAAATATTTCGCATGTCTCACACTGCACACCAGACAATAGAGAATCTAATATCACTTACTGCATGGTTAAGACTCATTTAAACTGTCTTCAACTTTGATCTCTTTTGAGAAATGTCAAAATAGTTCAGTCTTACAAAAACAATAAATAAATGAATTCACCACGGTGTCCATCTTCAAGGGAGGACAGAAAAGTTTTCCGGTGAAACAAAATACTCAATGAGTGATATTTTCGTTTATATAGAAAGTAGGATGAGAACACGAGACACGCATATTTACTCAGTTAGTCACTTAGCTATTTAGTCAGTTAGTTATCCCAAGGTGTTGAGTAAGCTTAGATGAGAATAACTATATCGATCATGTGACTTTCATACCCAGAAAGACAATAATAATAACAGTCACTTTATTCCAAACAACAATAATAATCATACCGAATGGAACTTTCAGCGTTTTTATACATATTGCAACAATTTAGCTCCTTTAATAAATATGTGCATACATAAGATTTAAAATAATAATATTAATATGAATAACCAAACCGCTATACACAAAATGATGGTGGAAACATAATGCAGTATGATTAGATAATATCACTGATAATACATGTAATAATAATATTAATCATTGCCTATACTTTGCAGGTCGGTTAATGATTTAAAAAGGTTATAAGATCTTTTCTGACATCTTAATGTCTCTTCACACACAACCTACTGTGCTAAGTAGAGTATGCTAGAATTTTACATTTAGCAGCTGCAAGAGCATAAATTCTTGTGAAGTTTCTTCTGGTTTCACCAGCAAAGATATACGAGGAAAATTTTTTAAATAAGTGGAGAGGGTGGAAGGTATCAGGAAGGGAAAACTTCACATAACTGCTTTCAAGCATGTCAATCGGTTGAGTCAAAGGTACACACACCACTTACTCTACCTACAGCCTTCAGTGTTCTACGTAATATGATACAATCTTCTTTGAGAAATCCGGGAGACAATGGAGGCGAACAATAAAGAAGAATCGGTAGAATACATGGATTAATAAATTGTAAGAGAAGAGGTTGGCTTATTCCAGAAATTCCCTGCTTCCTTATGTAATAAGCCAAGCGAAAATATTTACTAGAAATCAACAGGATATGAGACGACCAACAGAGATTTGAAGAGAAACTGATACCTGGATAACTACCCATCAGAATTTATTTATAAGTGTATGAGAAACCATTGAAAAATTAAGACTGCCAGTGAAAATTACGCAAATAATATAGAATCCAAAGCATCTGTAGTAGTACTGCCGTATAAAGAAGAAACATCAGAGGCTTTAAGTAGGATTCTCAGACATAGACCTTGTCAGCTTAGGAACACGCTTGATAGAACCAGATAAGAAAAATGACATAGTTTACCAAATACCATGTAATGACTGTTAGTGAGGTTAATCACATAGGCCAGTCAAACTAGTAGATTGGGGTCAACTAGATTACTGGAGCATAAAAACCTAGCCAGACCTGAAATGATTCAGCCTGGTAAGTTGAATAACGTAGAAAAATGCTCAGTCATCACAGTTGATTCACTTGAATGCAGTCAAAAAATAGGGTGAGTAGGACAGGGTGAGAGCATCAAAAAGAAATATAATAATGTGAAGAGAGGGAGAGGCTAATCACTGAAGCTTTGTTTACAGATTCAACACCGCTCACCTGCAATTGGAATGACGCCAAACCCATACCGGACATATGGAAAGTAGCATCTTGAACAAAAAGGCGAAGCTGGGAACAGAGAGATAAGGAGAGAAAAAATGTATATGAGACACGTTGTGAAAACGTGTGACCTAACTGATATGATTATGAGTGGCAATAATTCATGCTCGAAACCTCGTCATCCAGTCATTAATGCTGCCCCATCACCACTGTGTGATATCTGAAATTAACTTATCTAATGTGGAATTACATTCTAATACAGAGTGATGACCCCAGCTGTGACCTAGTAGACTATGAGCAAATACTAAGCTTAATGAGCTGCCTAATCTGTCCAAGAACAACAACAACAAAGGCAACATTAACAACGCACGGCCACAAAGACAGATAAAAACACCGGACTTGCATACGAGAGCTTTCACTGTCTCAAAGCAACATTCAAAAAGGGTCAACAGTTCCTGCATACATATGTCTGACATGACCTGGGGAGGCACTAATATCATCGATAAATTTAGACACTGAACAACCAAAAAGATTTCAAAGGTCATAATTCGCCTGACAGAAATTTAGTTGTCATAAATCAATCAGTGGGGTGAGCGAGATACAAACAGACATGTAAAACTGACATGCACTAAACTAGGTCTATATATCACACAAGGCCCAATTTGTACTTTCATATGGATGAAATAACATTCAGACAATCAGTCAATGTTGATCATCAATCATGCATAATACTTGCAATTCATGAATAGTGCTCATCATTGACTAATCATTATTTTTCAACTTTCGATTATTCATCCATTCCATCATCAAATAACCAATCAGAATGCTTCATCCTCCGCCCACTCTCCCCACCCATTCGCCATTTGAAATTGATTGGTTATTCGGTGAACATTTCGATCAGACTGATGAAGACGTCATTTTTGAAAGCATTTGACATGAGGTTGATTTGACTAACTCGTCACTGTCCAGTTAAGTGGATGTATGTCCAGATGACGTAGGAGAACGACTGATAACTAAATCACCATTTGACTAGAGTCAATCGATTTAGTTGTCACTCGTTTTTTCGACGTCTTCTGGTAGAACGGTGTGATTTTCACTTGTCATCTATGCCAATAGATAGATAGACCTTTGGACATTTGAACAGAAATGGATGTTTGAATGTATCTCTAACCTACAGTTGTTCCCGTTGCATATCTGATTGTGTTCCTCATAATTCAATGAATGCAAGGTGTACGTAGTGTGTAGACACTCCCAATTGAAATGTTACAAATGCGGTGGGATTGACTTTGGCTTACTGAATTGCTTTCACTTCAGCTGAGCGGTCACGAAATATGTGGTGTTCGAATTCTGCTGAATAAATTCTTCAGTGAATTATTATTATTTCTTTTAGTTCCCAGAGGGACATGGGAATTCAGCCACACGTCTCCATTGCGTTCGGTTCCCTGTCAACGTTTTCACTTGACTCCACGCCTCCCCGCATGCTTTCATCTCCTCTTCACATGATCTTCTCCATCATGTCACTCTCGCACTGACGACCCACTCGCCACTTCTTATTCAGGTTCCATTCGAGTGATGTCCTGGAGTGTGATGTCACTCGATGGTTTGTTTTCTCAGAGTATGGCCGATCCATCTCCATTTCTTACTGCACATTCGTTGCAAAGTTGGCTCCTGGTTGGTTCGCCCCCAGAGATCCCTGTTGGTGATCTCTGATCTGATCTTGAGTATTGAGCGAAGACAGCCGTTGATGCATGTCTGTAGTTTGTTCAAAGTGCCATTCGTGACGCACCACGTCTCTGATCAGTATAGTTGCATTGACTTCAAATTGGAGTTGAAAATCCGGATCTTGTTTTCAATGCTGAGTGCTGTTGACCTGCACAGAGACTTGAGAGAAATGAAGGCTTGCCTTGCTTTTCCGATCCTCGCTTTGATATCCTCATCTGTTTCCTCTGCTGTTAGTTGAAACGATGCTTCCCAGGTCGGTGGGTAGACAAAAGGAGGTCGCTTCTTTCAGATTTCTCGCATTTATGCTGGCTGATTGTGGTCTGTTGTTGTCGCTGTCGCTGTTGCTGTTGGCCAGGAATCTTCATCACCTCTGTTTTCTCTATGTTCACCTGAAGTCCTATTTTTGATGCTTCTTCTATCGCCAACTTGTTGCTTTTCACTTGTGAATATCTTCCAGTTTGTGGGAATTACAAATGTATATATGAAGTTTTAGGTCAGTCGTAATTGATTGTTGTCAATCTCATGTTCTGTTCTGCATCTGTTAGCTAGTTAATCGTCAATTCACTTCAATGTGTTGAGACAACTCGTCGAGTTATCTGTGGTTTCTGACAATTACTTGAGTCAGTGACTTCCTCATCATGCATATCAATATGTACTTATTCTTATGTGAAAACGATGTTCTCATTCACATGAGAAATCAAATTCACTTTGACTAATTTGTCATGTAATAAGACATGCATTACACTTTGCATTTCACCAATTACAAATAGTGGAAACTGTAGGTATCACTGAGGTGAATTTCGCTATGCGATTCTAGGTTACAGCCATACTGAACATGCAGGATGTTGATATGACTGATAGATGATGATAAATATAGTGGAAGCAGTGTGTGAACTGCCTGACATCAAATTGAAATTCATAAAAATTCAACATGCAAACTTTAATCTGTCTCTCCTCAACTCATCAATGATAACATTGGTGCAAGTGATGTAATAGGCTGAAATCGATTTTTCAGTATGGATGGAATAATTAACACGGGTTATTTTTCTAACAGGTATGGGAAATACACTGACTGTACGAACATTTTATCGGTAAAGTCTAAGTGTCACGATGCATGGAATGTGAATACTCGATTGACCTCGAGCCACACAGTCAGAAGAATCCGCGATTTTTAAACAAAAAGTGAATTTTATTTATAAGAAAGTGCATGAAAGCACATTAAAAAGGATATTTTCTTCTTATATAACTTCTAAATGCTTCCCAGTTATAATGAGGAGTGTCAGTTTTTAAGTCGAACCTGTTTCTATACGAACATTCTTTACACTAGTAAATAAACCATTTTCTCCATCCTTATAACATCAAGCTTTATTGTTATTGTACTTTTTATATTTATAATCCTCTCATTTTTTGTTTCTATTTGTTTATTTTTGCATCAGTGTAAACATCATTTAAGCTGTGTTATAACTGTTAATTTTGTATTTCCCTTCACCAAGCTATTTCAACAGAAAATTAGATTCAATAATCTATAACATGCTAAAATTTCCAAACTGAATCGACAATACTGTTTGGAACAAACTCACTGCTATTATTATTATTACTACATTTATTATTCTCACTTTGTACTTCGAATATTTTTGACTTCATATCGTAAATGTGGAGAAATTCC